TAGACAGACAGACAGAAAGATAGACAGATAGACAGAAAGATAGACAGATAGATAGACAGATAGACAGACACAGACAGATAACAAACAGACAGACAGATACACAGACAGACAGATACACAGACAGACAGAAAGATAGACAGACAGACAGAAAGATAGACAGATAGACAGAAAGATAGACAGATAGATAGACAGATAGACAGACACAGACAGATAACAAACAGACAGACAGATACACAGACAGACAGATACACAGACAGACAGATACACAGACAGACAGAAAGATAGACAGACAGACAGAAAGATAGACAGATAGACAGACAGATAGACAGATAGACAGATAGACAGATAGGCAGACAGACAGAAAGACAGACAGACAGACAGAAAGATAGACAGATAGATAGACAGATAGACAGACACAGACAGATAACAAACAGACAGACACAGACAGACAGATACACAGACAGACAGATACACAGACAGACAGAAAGATAGACAGACAGACAGAAAGATAGACAGATAGATAGACAGATAGACAGAAAGACAGACAGAAAGACAGACAGATACACAGACAGACAGACACAGACAGACAGATAGACAGACAGATAGACAGATAGACAGACAAAGACAGACAGATAGACAGACAGACAGACAAAGACAGACAGACAGACAGACAGACAAACAAAGACAGACAGATAGACAGACAGATACAGACAGACACAGACAGACAGATAGAAAGATAGATAGATAGTCTGCTTGTAGGAAGATGAATTAGAGGGACTGGGGGATGAATGCTGCTCTTTAACATGCCGGCCTCTGGGTCAACCGTAATTGGATCACATTGACATAGCTGCTCTGCATATTGCACCTACATTCCCTCTACCTGATTTCATGTATTTCCCAGAATGCTTTATGACCTGCAGAGAAGGGACATAGATATGCTCAACAGAAATAATCTTTAATTATGGGCAATACCACAAATTCACTGTATTTTCTACTTCAGTGCCAATAACAACCAGATCTGGAGTGATGGATATTATTGCATTGAATAAAAAGTATTCATTATCATTTGATCTGATTATTATTTTCTCTAGTAATCATTTGGTATTTCCGGGGGCACGGCCCTGTGCTCATCGTTTCTTTGTCGGTGTTTTTTTTAACGTTTTTTATCTGCTAAAATAGCATTTTATAGCATTTTGTTATGAAATTTTTCGTCATGAAAATCGCTTTGCTATGGATACTACTTTGCAATCGGTGTAGCTCCACCAACTCTCCTGTCGATTGCATGGAAATCCGACGGCCTGCTGAATGGCCAGAAGGGAAGAAGAAAGCAAAGAAAAAGCGAGGCTCAAGGGGAGGTGTGAGGCACTGACTTTGGAGAGACGCGGCAATAGATTCCCATTGCCTGTCATCACTCTGACCGATGATCGGTCGGTAAGCAACAAACTTGATGAACTGGTGTTAAGAGCAGAACATGACTGTGAATTCAGACAAAGCAACCTGCTGTCTTTGACGGAATCATGGCTTAAAAACTATCATGACACTCCAACTCTGGCCGGGTACACTACCATAAGAGCAGACAGAAATGAGTGTAGCTCACGCAAATCAGTCGGAAGGGGGTTGTGTTTATTTGTCAACAATCGTTGGGCTACACAATATTGTGTTCGGGAGCAGGTGTACACACCGGACTATGAAAAATTTGACTTGGTCAAATTACTATTATTTTTGTGTATGTGCCTGGACCGAATGATGCAGCAGAGGGGGAACAATATCAGAGAGTTATGATGCACTCGCCCGCTCTGCTGATCAGCCTGTCTTTGTCCTTGGGGACTTCAACTCATGTAACATGTCTACACATCTGCCCACTGTTCATCAATAAGTTGACTGTCCTACACGGTTAAATCGGACCCTTGACCGCTGCTACGGAAATATCTCTGAGGCATATAAAGCAGTGTGTAGACCACTTCTAGGGAAATCCAATCACAAAATAATTCATCTCCTGCCTAAATATAAAGCTATGCTCAAAAGGACGAAACCAGTTATCAAGCAGATACAGATGTGGTCTGAAACAAACAAAGATTAACTCAGAGACTGTTTTGACAACACAAATTGGGACATCTTCTTTGAATCATGTCAGGATGGGAAGGAACTCACGGACACTATAACATCATATATTAAGTTCTGTGAGGACTGTGTATCTGAAACACTCGGCCCGCCGCACCTCTCTCCCCGCCTGAAGCGCCTGCTTCATAGTTTAAGCTAATGATGAGTGTGTACAGGTGTGCTTTATACTCCTTGGTTATTCCGTCACACCTTACCGTTCTAGCAACAGGCCAATAGGATTGGAGTGATTTCATTCACGTTCAGACCTGCTTCGCCTAGAGGCGTTCCCATAGTGTCGTAACCGACACAGTGTCTCGTTCCCCTTCTCGGGGAACCAGGGTTACATACGTAACCCGAGACATTCTGGTAGATCTCCTGACCTCCCAAATAACCACCATGTTAGATCCGTTGCAGTTCGCCTATAGAAGTGACAGGGGGACTGACGATGCCGTGCTGGTCCTTTTAGACTCTTCAAAACAGCTTGCACTCCCAAATGGGCAAGCTAGAGTTCTATTCATAGACTTTAGTGCAGCATTTAATTCTATGAAGCTACATATTCTCCTGCAAAGTCTAGACAATATTAAGATAGATAAGGCCTTGGTTCTTTGGATCAGAGACTTTCTTTCCTGTCGCCCTCAGAGGGTATGTGTAAATGTCAGGAGTCATACTACTTTCCCCTGTGCTTTTTCTCTATTCACAAATGAATTTTCCATAATAATAGTACCATTAAGCTGATAAAATATGCTGATGATGTGGCCTTAGTAGGACTCTTACAAAAAATGTACCCCTCTGGTGAGGCCTCTTATTTAGCACATGTAATGGCCCTTGAAGCATCGTGCAAAGATAGCGAGCTAGAAATCAATGTGGCAAAGACAAACGAGCTAATCTTTTGCAATAAAGAAGACATAACAACAGAGCCAGTTGTACTCAAGTAGTTGAAACTGTGGGAACTTTTAAGTATTTAGGCACGGTTCTTGACAACCATTTGAGTTTTATAGATAATACAGATTATATTTTTAAGAAATGTTCACAACGACTTAATCTCCTCAGAAGACTGAACTGCCTGGGCTTTAGTGCTCAGACTATTGAACTAGTATACATCACACACATTGAAAGTGTTTTAACCTTTCATCTCTCTGCTTGGTTTGGTCGCTTAAATTGCAAGCTTAAGAACAAGCTTAACAGGATAGTGTTAATGGCTAGTAAAATAGTAGGAAATCCTCAAAAACATCTGACCCAAATAAATACTGACAGAATGACAAAGAAGGCTAGAAAAATCACTACAGACAGCACTCACCCT